TTCACTGTCGGGGGGAGCGTGTATGTAATTACATTGCAAATACTGACTTGAGCCCCACCACTGTATGGGTTAGCCCTACCATAGATTACCCAACAAAAATACTCTGGAGCCGCAACTGCCGACCCGTATTGCGCATGCGCAGATCTAAGATCCAGTAGAAATGATAAAAAAGTAAAAGTCTGCTGCTTATTGTTCTACTAGGCCAAAATAGAGTCAAAGAGTATATGGGAGTGAGAGTGTGTTAATTAATATATTTGGCAGTTTGGAGTAAGTCTATAGATTTGTTTGTGTGTGTGTGTTTCATGTATAGGCCTCTCACGATAATTCATTTTGTTAGATACATTTTCCCGGAAATTATTGCGATAAACGATAATATTGTCGGCACCGTTGTATGACCATTTTAGACCACTGACATAATGATAATATATAATAATAATTCAAGTACATCCTTTCAAACTGCTAGTCACATCCTCATGTAAATGGCAATTTATCGAGGTCAGAAAAGTTATCGAGTTCATTTTTATTTATCGTACGATAAGTCAATTAATTGCTTATCGCGACAGGCACACAATAAAACAGTGGAAACAAACATGTTTGACTTTCATTAGTGAATGAAACTGTGTGCCCTTTATAGTCTGTGTCCAATATTGTGTATTTGTATATATTGTATATATATCCTATATGCCAAGGTCCTGCTGCTGACACGATCGCAGTCATTTCGTGCGCATATGTGTAATTAAACCGAATTAAACCCATGATATCAAAATCTCACTCCAGCCAGGTACCCAAAGTTGGCAACCCTGTCCTAACCACTTCAAGCTTTATTTCTGAAACAGTATGGAGCTCAAACCTACAGCGTTAGCTCAATGGTTAGCTCTGAGTGTTAGCATGCTTGCTAATGTAAACACACAGCATATTACTCCCAAAAAAAAACACGCCGTGCATTGTTTCTGATACAGCACATAGCTTGACATGTTCTTTCTTAAGTGTTTACCGCTAGAACAGTGCCATTATATGTATTATATATATAACAACTTTACTCTAAGCCTCCAGCAGACATCCTGCTGAATAGAGAGGCGAAGTCCCTCCATTTCCAGTGGAACTCCATGGGACCTTATTTCGGAAAATGGCGTAAATACAGCCTATCTACCAATTGGATCAAATATAAAAGTCAGCCGAATTAGTGTTGATACTGCAAGGAGACGTATTGTGTGAAAAGAAATGTAAGATGTTGTTTAATTGCTTATATATTTAAGATCCACGTCAAGTTTTCAGTTTTGGCGGCAGTTCTTCCTGTTTGTCTAGAAGTCTTGTCATCAGGGCTCTATAAATAGACAACTACGGCAGATATGTAATATATAATGCAGCCGAAACGTGTATTACAATGCCGTTATGTGATGACTTTCAAAGAGAAAAGCAAGCACACTCGGAATAATGTATTATTTAATTTTTTTTAAATGTTTTCGGATTTCACATCGCATAAACACCAAATCCCAGCGTGCATAGCGGCTAAAACATCCAATCATCGAGCTGAGGATCTTGCCTACGTCTGTTTCCGGTTTCGTTTATGAAGGATGTATTTTGTTATACACACATTCCTTCACATTTAAATTGTAATTTACATTAAAGTATTTTGTGAGGCCTTCTAAAATGTTTTTAAATATAACTACGGTTGTAGTTGAAGAGTTTGCAAATGAACATGAACCGAAGCTGTTGCCTGTTGCAATATACAGTCTATGGTTGCTACATAGGATTGTGGGTAATGTAATGTCTTCGGCCATCCAAAACTCATAGAAAACGACTTGTTTCTCAGAATTGAAGGGGAAAACGTGACAAAAGCATTGTACACTAAAACCTATCAATGTCGTGTAATTAACAAGGATAATCTGGTGTTTTTGAGTTGATGAGTAGTGGAGATATCACTGTCAAATCAATCGACAGTAAGGGGAATACTTACTTCCGGATGTACAATTCTCCGTTATCCAATGGGAATGGACGGTCACATTGCCTTTAACAGCCTCCGACACAAACGAATGCCGTGCTTCCATGAGTGTCAAATACCGCCGCCGATGGGAATACATTGCAATCAGTTGAAAGCTATTTGCGTCTTTTTATGAAGCTGAAGGAGCCTAGGAGCGTCCCAACTGCACGCCTCGGGACCCTGACCAAGCGTCGCTCCTGGACGTTTATGGAGTGAGAGTGTGTTGCCAATGACGTAATAGGAGCGAAAATTCTGGATCTGCTTGTTAGACCCCCCCTTTTTATTTTTTATTTTTAGAGATGTGGGTACGGAGGAAAAGAGAAAGGGTTTTGTTTTCTTACACTTTGTGAGTTCCCTGACACACCGGGGACACATATTTATGTATAAAAGACATCAAAAAGTGCATTTTGCATGATAGGTCCCCTTTAAGATATTGTGAGGCGTAATTGAAAGAAATGTAGCTACAGTCAACTACAACTCTTATTACAGTGCTGTTTCATGTACAATTACAATCATTTCAGGATTAAATCAGATTGCAAGAAGTCCAGATGTTTGGCTCATAGACTGTGTATTATTCTATCAAATATATGTATTCATATACCGGACGTAGTCACTAATTGGTTTGTGGAATACAGTTTAGAAGCCATGAGTTTGGTTTTTGGCCATCACCATCTTCGGTGCCAGAAGAAACCCTATTCTGAGAGAGGATGGAGCTGGACAAAAGCAAAGTTAGCAGCCAATGCTAATGCTACTTAGCTCGTTTAGTTAACAAGGTGCATCCTAATTCACCTTTACTGTGAGAGTATTTGGGAGGTTAATTTTGGCTAGTGAAAATGGCTTGTTTTTTTTTATACGTACTTTGGAGTAAAACTGAACAAAAGACACCTGTATTACTATGTGAGTGCACACAAGGATACCTGTGACTGGAAAGCATAGACTCTTGTGGCTTTAATGAGCTCAATTATGGTCTCCATAGTCGCCATCTTATTGTAGTGACACCATATTTAAATACTTGACCTCATAATTGGAGAGACACAGCTGTAAGGGTGAGACAGAGGGGATGACATGCGTAAATGGTCCCCGGGTCGAAACAAACCCATGTGCTCCCAGCGGGGTCTGATCCAGTGATCGCTCCTCCAGCTCTACCAAAGTGAGCTACACAGCAGCCCATGTCCAGATACGAAATACGAAATTGAAACATAATTTTTTGTATGATGTTCCTCAAGGTCTTGATGTCCTAGTGTTGTATGGTCCATCATTTTCGTAATGTCTATCTGCCTTTTATGACATCACCTCATATATTGGAATCATATTTGTTTATATATGTTAACATTTCTTTACATTCAACTGCTTTGTAAGAGTGCATGGGTTTCTGATTTTAATATCCTTCTGTAAATCTTTTTAACCTGGAAAGCCCTTATTATTTTATTATTTATTATTATGGATAACTTTATTCCTTATTCTAATTTAAACAGATGAGTAAAACTAAAAAACATCCGGTTCACATGAACTACTCAAGATGAGCATTTAAACCTGGATGTGTTAGTGGGCATTGGAGGAAGTGCAGCTCTGTCATTGACCTGTTGAGAAAGTGAAAGATGTGTCTGGGGTTAACAATCCACATTCTACACAATCATTGATTTAATTTGATCTTTGATAACCACCTATCAAACCAGTAGTAGACTCCTGCCTGACTTCCTCTTCTTGTTGACAGTCAACATGGTACCTGTATTATAAAGCCTGCACCCTCATGAGCGCAGCAGCGGAGGTTCCTCTCTTTTTGTCCCCTGACGCCCGCTGATGTGATTTGACAGATCTTCCTGTGCTTCACCCGCGTCAGACCAACAATGGAAATAAAGGTGGACTGAGCTGCAGCAGTATGATCAGGAGACTCATGTCATTCACAAAGAGCTTCAGTGAGAAGATGCTGCCCTATAGTCTATTTACCAGCTCATAGAGTCCTGTTGTGAACCCCAGAGTTTTATGATAGAAATGTTTAGTACGGGTCCCCAGCACATAACTGCTGGATGCTAACTTGCATATGTTGGGAAATGTGCACAGTTAGCGGTAAGTTGGGTTAGTTAGCATCAATTAGCATTGTAGCGTGGACAATAGTTAAAAAAAAACATATTTTTTGATATTTTCTTTGTGGTTTTGAGGGTTATTAAGGATGCTGAATCTATATACAGTTTTAACAAGAAAGTGGCCGTAGGTGGACTGATTTTGATTAATGTCTTGATCATTTGAATTGTACAGAATGCTTATTTGAAAAAAAAATGTAGAGGTAATAATTTCCATGTTGTGCTCTCTATCCAATGGTAGCAACACTGCTCGTGGTAATACTCAACATTTCTGGGTTCACAGTGCTGACAACAGACTGATTGTGACCCCTCTGTAACCTTAGCGATGCTGGCTTGGTGAAGACAGTGTTATTGAGCATGCCTCTGAGGGAAACATTGACATATCAACACATTTAATATGGAACAGTACAAAACAGGTACAGATACAATAAGTCAGATCCTCATATAGTGAAGCATTTTCCAAAATGAACTTTCCAGACACATTTATTGGGCGGATAACATTACTCAAACACAGTGTATGACCATTGTAAACAATAAAACAGAAAAAGGCATCGGCTCGGGCTGAGAACTTCAGGAGGACTGCGCCAAGCTTTTTAAAATTCACAACTTTTTGTCTTTTTTTAAAATCCTCTTTATATATCTTTTGAATGTTAATTCATTACTTTTCTTTACATATTCATTTTTCTGAAGTATTGATAATAATAATAATATGTACAAACGAGGCAAAGACACCGGTTGTTCTGAGGCCGTAAGAAAGCCTGTAAATATTCGCTCGTCTCCATGACATGACTCTGGTTTTGGAAAATGGCAAGGTAAGGCTTGGTTCCCTCTGTTGGTTTTGCTGATTGCATGCCTGGGTTGTGACTGTGATGGAGCGCCGTGTGAGGCCGACCACTTCGGGGGGGGGGGGGGGGGGGGGGGGGGGGGGGGGACAGCGACTTAGTCCTTGGATGTTCCCACTGATAGCAAAATGTTTATGTACAAAGGCTTTAAGTCCCATCATTCTCATATTAGTTGGGATGCTATCAATATTCTTTTTTGTTTCTTTCCAAGTGTCTTTTTTTGGTTTTGTCCCAAAAAAGTATTGGTATCAAAATGTCTGTATAGATATAGTTGTACAGTGGGGACAGGGCTTGGTAACATGTGTTAGAGGGTTTAAACTGTTCAATGTGTGAGTCTTTTTGCTCGCAATACAAAGTTCCTTATAATGTCCTGTGCTGTTTGTCTTTATACAATGCCATGAAATAATCTTAGATGAGATGCAGCACGGGCTCTTCCCCTCCTCCATCCTTCATCCTCCTCCTCTCCTCTTCCTCTCTCCACGTCTGACACCCGTCTCCATGCTCAGCCAAGGGAGGCTACTTTAGCAACCACTCGTTCACTGGAAGAGAGGAGAAAGACAGGAGTGAGAATACTGATTTATATATGCGAGCTCTCCACAGTTCAACTGTTCTCCGGCATTGTTCTCCCTACACCATATTTCATCTTTAGCAATAGCATACAGTTCAAAAGGAATGGCCCTGCAGTGGATGCCCTGGTGTGTGGCTGGAGCTGCAGCATTTAGTGACATTCATATCCAAAACACAAGTAAACAAGGACATTTGATTGAAAAAGTGATTTATCTGAAACAAAGGAATTACAGGAGTGTTGTCACAATCTCAATTCCTAAATCAGGTTTTAAACACACACGCGCGTGCACACACACACACACACACACACACACACACACACACACACACACACACACACACACATGCAATGTCTCAACCATTAAATAAGCAGGACTACTTTTGCATTTTTTTGGTTCCTCTCTGGTGTGTGCATTTGTTCCAAAACCACAGCGATTTGAGGTGGATGGGGGGGGGTTATCTCACCATAGTTGCTGCACAAAATAAAAATGTCATTTATGGGGGTTCAGTGGGTCGAGTAGAGCATAACATTGAAAGAGAGAGAGATACGGACGGACAGAAAGAAAATCATGACAATCACGATGTGTGTGTATGTGTGTGCATGTGTGTGTGTGTCAGCCACAGTACAGTCAATCTTGAACTTCAATGAAAAGACAATAATAAATAACACAGTGAATAGCAGGGACAGGGGCTACCTTTGGCCTTTAGTGTATTTATACTTCAGCAGTGAAATTCAACATTGTGTTCAGAATTGCACAGTTGCCGAGATATATCGGCTGAAACAGAGGGGGGGGGGGGGGTTGTTAGGTGGGCAGGTTGTGACCGCAGCACCCCCCAGGCTGCATAGAGAGGCGAAGTCCCGCCCATCTACTTCCGCCCCATGGGACCTTATTTCGGAAAGATTATGTATTGAAGTCAATGGAGAGAGAAAGATTATCTTTCGATCCCGTTTGAATTGTGCCACGAATTACACATATGATGTTTGTCAATCTTAAATAATCATTTCCATGTCAAAAAAGTCACAGTTTGTCGTAAAACTGTTGAAATATAAGACTGAAAAATACGCAACTAGAAAGACTACAAATCCAAGTGATGTCATAAACGTTACACATTACACTCGTGTTACTCACCGAAACCTTGTAAAGCCGGTCCCGCATGCTGGCTCTTACGGAACCGACTAACTCCCCTTGTGTGTATGTACAGCTCTCAACATGCTCAGACTTGGAGTGATTTTCACCTCGTTTAATACTTTCCGCCTCATTCTGAAAGAAAGAGGTGAAATGTGCTAACGTGACGGCCATCTTGGTGTTGGTGACGTGTGCAAGACCAGGGATGTAGTTCATTGAGCGTTTCACACAAAAAAAAGTGTTACTTCACAGTTTTACGACACATTTTAATATTTTTGACTTGCAAAATTATCTTTTAAATTGACAAACATCATATGTGTAATTCGTGGCACAATTCAAACGGGATAGAAAGATAATCTTTCTCTCTCCATTGACTTCAATACATAATTTTTCCGAAATAAGGTCCCATGGAGGTCCATCGCCTCTCTATTGAGCTTTGAGAGTTTTCATATGTCACTTATACCCCATTCACACCAACGGTGTTTCTGGGCCGGTTCGGAGCTGGAGCTTGAAAAGCACCGGGTTTTCCTGTTCACACCGCAGCGGAGCCGCCTCTAAGCTCCGGAATCCGGTTCGTTTCGAGCACCAAAAAGTTGTCCGTCTAGAAGCAAGACCCGCATACGTCACGCTTACGTCGGAGGGGGGCGAGATTAACCTGAGCTAACAGTTAAGGCGAGTACGGCAAATACAAGTTGTAACAAGCAGTAGTGCTGAGCAAAGTGACTAGAACGCAACCACACACTTGTAAATAAAAAACACGCTTTATAAAGTCAGGCAACACTAACCAGGCTTCGTGTGATTCTGTTTATTTGTACCTTACTTTGACCATCCGTTCGCTGTTATTGATCATTGTGGAGAGCAGGCAGACGTTTTGTTTGTTATTATAGCAGCTATCGGATGGAATCAATACATGGGCTGCACAGGTTGTCATGTCCGACTATCACAAGTAGAATCATAATGAAAAATACGTCGGTAAAAAGTGCCTGTATAAAACGGCTTAGCAAGTAGTCAGTTTAGCTTCGGTTGCTATGCTAACATCACCCATGTTATACCAGAGAAACTTTCATAACAGCGTTGTGATGCCAAACAGCGTCAATTCAGACTGACACCAAACAGCGTCAATTCAGACTGACACACATTCACTTAAGGGGAACTGGGGATATGTATCAGCTGCTTGTGTGACAGTCAGACAGTGAATACTTTAGAGCCGTGTGAGCTAACCCGGAGCTAACGGGAGAATAAACTCCCGTGGAAGAGCAGCCAGCACTGCAGCGGTCGGTAAATGCCGCTGAAACACATTAATAAACAATGAACCACGGCACTCTGGAGAAAAGTATAAGGTTGGAGAAGTCGTTATTTAATTTAATCTGGCTTCGTATGATTAAAACAACACGATCATCGACCCGACGCAGTCCCCCCCCCGTTGTTGTTGTAGTTAGCGCCGTTGGGGAGAAAATCAGCGACGTAAACTGTGACGTCATGACGCAGCAGCGGCAGCACCAGTCGGGCTCTGAGCGGTGTGAACAGAGCGGGAGCTGAACCGAAGAACCGGTTCTGAACCAGAAAAGCTCTAGCACGGAGCTAGAACAGGAAAAGCCTTGGTGTGAAAGGGGTATCAGAGCCAAACAGGTGTTCTGACTCTTCAGCGTCAGCATGCTTTATCCCAGACCTCAGCTCACACCAGCTCTTTACATGTCTTATTCATTTCATTCAGTACAATAGTGAGTGAAGTTCAAGCAATGGTGTTTTGGAATCAATGTGAGTGTCAAATGTAAAATGACATCAGGAGCAATATTCCCCCTTAAAGATGATAGTATGTTGAGTTGTATTGATCGTGCTTATTTAACAGAAGATGAGGAAGTTAATATTTGATGTTAGCTGCCAGTATAGTTGATTTTCATCATTTACACCTCTAAAAGAATAGAAGTGAGCTTCTTCATAGTCGCTTTTTGTTCTGAAAAAGTGTAGGTGTGCTAATGCTATGAACAGAGTGGGAATAACACAGATGGGCCTGCATAATCAGCTGAGCGAGATCAATAATGAAGACAAAAGGAATAGAGATGGCGCTGCATGGTGACAGGGGGACCTGATTGTTTTTGTACCTCGGTATTGGAGCTTCTGGGCCCGGTTGTTGGGGCAGTCTTTGCCCTGCATGCTGAAGTTGATGTTGGTGCGGATGCAGCGGTTGTTCAGCTCCTGGACCGGGCGCACATTGTCACTCATGCTCAGGAAGATCTGAGACGGCTGGTTCTGGCTCAGCAGCCGCAAGGAGTGCATCTAACAGGGAGGGAAACGCACGTTAGAGAAAAAGGACAAGGCATCATTTGGGGGGAAGTGTCTTACTCAGGGACACAGTGACATGCTGACTGCAGTGGGGACTGAACCAGAGCTCTCCTGATCCTAAGTTAACCACGGCCCCTGGTAGAGCCCCCCACACACAACAACACAGACTATAACACCCCTTGTTGTTTAATACCAACTATGTGCAATATATATATATGCCGTTAATAACTGTGCAATATATACCTGGCTGCTAAATCCTCACAACTGTTACAGGATGTGTCTTTTGTAAATTGTGTAATTTTTATTATAATTTTTTTATCTTTAATATGTTGTATGCATGCTTCTTAGGTAACATTAAGCTGTCCTTGGCTCTTTTCTGCTGTAACAATATACATTTCCCCTCTGTGGGACGAATAAAGGGATTCTGATTCTGATTCTGAAGTTCAGCACACTAATCCACTGAGCCACAGCCTCATGTCAAATACTCCAAGTATAAAGCCTCACAGCGGTTAGCAGACAGAGAGAGATGTGTGTTTGCGGGGGGGGGGGTCACCTGCATGCGTGTGAGGTACACCGGCTTGTTCATCAGCAGCCATGTGACGGTCTCAAAGCACGGAGGGGTGGTCATGGATCCATCGTAGGTGATGAAACTACTCGTCTCCGGGTAGATCTCCTCTATGTTCAGGCTGGTCAGTAGATACGCATCATCTGTGGGAAGAAAAGCTTTGAATGATTCATCACAGGATACAGGGCTGTGGCTTTTACATTTGATGTGTATGTTCAAATAGAGCAACACAAAAAGAATCAACATGCTGCCACCAGAGGACTCAAATCATTTCCCTCAACCAAAGAGTTATTTTCTATTTCCAAAGATTTCACAAGAATAATAAAACTGGTGAAAGTCAGAAAAGTGTTCTTGTTCTTCCTCTAATCATCTGAGTGGTCCTGATCCAGGACGGTCTGTTGTCTCTAACGCAGATGGGGGGCTCCCTATGGGACCTGGATAGTAAAATCACTCATGTTCACAACTTTAGTTACAGGAAAATAAAAATATGAAATGAGCAAATGAACTCAAGCTGCCTACAGATACACATTTAAGCTATTTCTACTGTACTTATTACGTTATATTTTGATATTCAAAAGTGTTTCGAGTTTATGTTGATTGTGAAGGCTGTAACTTCAAGCCTCCCAACCAACCACACATCCTAAAAGTTATGTTTATTTTTTGTTAAACATCATACATACACAGACACATTTTTAACCAGTTTTTTTTACTATATTGAGTGCACGCAATCTTGTTGAATGTAGTGATTGTTAATGTGTGTTGTGTTAACCCCAGAGTCTTGCAGCCTGCAGTTTTGTGCTCATGAATGTATGCTCTAGAGTTTAGATTGTATCTAAAATAATGCTGTTGCTATGCATAAAACTAAAACTATTATAGTCTTCCCGACATTTCTCTGTAAAAAAAAAAGTATGAATGGCTGAGTGAACTGTCTGTGTCTTCACTCACTTCCTGTTCCCTACACAATAAACTAGAAATACTAAGTGCCTAAAACTTGCGTAAAAAGTAGCAGAAAATGGAAATACTCAAGTAAAGTACAAATATCTAAAAATTGTACTTAAGTACCGTATTTGAGTAAATGTACTTAGTCACTGTTACTATCCACCTCAGACAATAAGTCGGACATTATTCTCACGACTTCACTGAAACGTTTATTAACATGTCGTTCATTTAGCAGGGAGCAGTGTGAGCTACATTGTTCGTGCTATTGTTGGAAATAGATGAATACCACAGTTCTGCACACTCAACAGAACAGTGGAGTAAAGTGCACTGTGTGTGGAACAGGAGGTGGGGGCTCTTGTTTTATGACAGTTCACCTCATACCTCCTGCTCTGATGTGCGGGCTGTAGACCCCTCCCCACTCATCAAACACTGAGCTCATCTTTCATTTCTCCTGCTTCTTCTTCCACCATCACTCAGTGTGCTGTGAATGACAGGCTGTTGGTGTTGCAGCACAGCCTCTTTTATCCAAACTGTCTCCTCTGTCAGGACGCTAATTAGACAAACTGCAACTCTCTCCCACTTCCTCTTCACACTCCAGTAACACGCTCTCCATAACGTGTCGTCTGCTGGGCCGCTGTTGACAAATGGACTGCCGGTTGTAATGAGGTTACTGCGGTACACCGCTGCAGCTTTAATGCTGATTTAACTTTGCTTCGCATGACTATTAAATACTGGGTCTTGTAAACAGAGCCCTGTGGTTACAAATAAATTAATAACACATAATAAGCACGATAGGGTTAATGTGAGAAAATCCAGATGAAAATATGTTCTGATCCTCTCTGCATGTTAAGAGGAGTGGGGTCTTATTTCACTATGCAGCATTTCATTTTACATTCTAGTCTGACTATGTTATTCCTACTCTGTTTCTTCTTGCACTATGTTTATTGTTTTTGTATGTGGTTTATGTGTTATATATTGTAAATGTGCACTGTTGGAGGAGCCTGTGACTTCAGAGTTTCATTGAATCACCACACTGTAAAGCCTTTGAACTTTGAACTCTGTTGCTGATCTTCGATCATGTGGCTGAAATAAATCAGTCTCTCTGGAGTCTGTGCACGCACGCACGCACGCCCGCCCGCCCGCCCGCCCGCCCGCACGCACGCACGCACGCACACACACACACTCGTAAAAGTAGGGCTCCTGTGAGGCAAGCTGCTGTGTGGCTGCTTCAAAGCCTCAGAGACAGAGGTGATAATGTGGCGGAGGTGGGTGCATATACATGCATAAGTAGAGCGCAGATGTAAACACTGTTTTATTTAAAGAAGGGAGAAAAACACATTCGCTCTGCACATGGGTGAGCATCAGCACGACCTGGTAGACTGGAACGTGAATCCGTTGAGTGTGTTCAGGTTTTAAGAGTCGATGGCAAAGTGGCAAAAGAACCTTCTGCTTATGGTACATCACAGTGTGTGTGTGTGAGTGTGTGCGTGTGCGTGTGTGCGTGTGTGTGTGTGTGTGTGTGTGTGTGTGTGTGTGTGTGTGTGTGCGTGTGTGTGTGTGTGTGTGTGTGTGCTTTAGAAAAGCTGGCACCCTCACTGGCGGAGGGATATGCCTGAGGAGTCATACGCGTGAGGGGGCGGTGTTGGACTGTATGTGTTTGTGTGTGTGAGACAGTGTATCTGAGGGAGTTTTGACAGCTGTCAGAGCCCCCCCCCCCCTCCCCCCCCCAGCCTCCTGTCCTGCGTGGTGCCTCAGAGACTCCTCCCAGCCACCAGGGGTCAGTGTGCTTACCCCTCCTCTCTCTGCTCCCCCCATTAATCCAATTATGTGTCTCTTTTTTTAAAGCTAGCCCCGGGCCATCTCCGTGCAGTGCTGCAGAGCGAAACCTCTGGAAACCTCTGGAGAGCAGCTGTCGGCTTCTGCCTTACATGCTGCCTCACCCACAGTACACCCCCCCCCCCCCACCCCCCCAGCATCTAGAGGTCCCAAGCATCCCTATCCTGCAGTATCCTTCAACTGGCACTTTGAAATTAAATAATGATGCTTTAAGAGATCAGAAAGAAAAGCACTTATTAAGAAATACTCGATTGTACTGATTCAAAAGTTGACCGTTTGCTAACCCTTGTCCTCAGAAACACAGATGTATCCTCAGGAGTGGACACATTGCTGCAGTTGCAAAGAAAATTAGTCTATTGTTCACATTGTAAAAACTCAACCGTTGACTTTAATGAAATGTATTATATCAACAGATTTCACATAACTGTATTAGGTTAGTTGAAAGCAATAATATTAAGTTTGACGTAATAAACTTGATATTATTGCTTTTTACTAATCTAATACATTTGCATACAATACATTTATAAATCTGTTGACATAATACATTTAATTAGAGTCAACGTTTCAGTTTGTTCAGTGTAGCTAGAGAAACACTGCAGAACGTTTTCTATGCACCAGGCGAGGAATACTGAACTGACTAGGCGCCATCTTTGCTCTGGTTTCCACTTCTTATAATATATAAATTAGTGGTTCAAAGTAATTAAATACATTTACTCAAGTATAGTACTTTGTTGAGGTTTTTGTACTTTACTTGAGTTGCTTCTTTATACTTCTACTTCTACACATAAATACTTGTACTTTTTACAAGTACAATTTGGAAATCAGGACTTTTACTTGTAGCGTATTTAAAGCCTATAGTATTTCTGCAGTGATACATTATAGATCAGCAACCATGACCAGTCAAGGTTTCCACATGTTGAAGCAGATTGCCTGGCGTTTCAGTTAGAAATATACAAAGCCTATGAATAAAGAAAATATATACAGGGTGTCCACGGGGTCTTAAAAAGTATTAAAAGTTGATAAATCAATTTAGCGAAAATTAAGGCTATTAAAAAGTATTAAACGGCATTTTCCAAGGTATTACATTTTGTAGCTTGTTTTCAATAAGTATATAAATTGTCCAAAGAGGTTGTATTCTACAGTCTGCCTGAATGTAATCATTGCGTAGGTGTGTAGTGTGATTCTGTGTAGTTTATTTATGGCATCCCGTTGGATGTGACGTCATCTGAACAGGACATCGCACGCTCACTGCTTGATAGCGCGAAGCTCCGTTTACGCCGGTTGTTAAACAACATCGTTATGGGGAAATGCAAGTCTGCGTCCAAATGGTTGGAAGATAAGGAGGAAGGACCATCAATACTGTATATAGCAGTGACGTGCGGTGAGGTTCATGGCTGGTGAGGCACTGACTCTTTCAGAGTCAGATTTACAAATATTATAGCCTATTTTGATCTTAATCGAAATATTCTGTTATTTTCAAAAGCTTTTTTAGTCTGATGCTATGATTAATTTTAAACAGACCGATCAACAAAAGGATACCCAAAATCTAAATATTGGATTGTTCTTTCTAAGTAAGATCCCATTTTCATTACAGTTGTGGTCTTACCTTGACTTGAAGATGAACAGAAGTCCATGCTATCCTTCTGGACAACAATCTCTACTACTGTTTTGTAAAAGTCCTCCTTATCTTCCTGTAGTTTCAAAAGTCTAGTTTGTTGTTTGCGGTAGAATAACAGTAGCAACAAGAACCTGTGGGCTCACGTGCGCCCCCTTCAGTGCGGCAGAGGTTATGGCTGCCTCCCCTGGTGATTTTTTCATTGCCGTTGTACGATCAGACCAGCGAGCCTAAATATCATATATACGTGAAATAAGTTATTTAGAGACTATGGATGGCGAGGATAAATGTAATAAAGGGATCTACAAACATTACATTGGTGACCTACAGTGAGATGGGAACAGGCATGCGCTTAGGGCCCGCTTTCCAGCCAGTTTCTGTGGGGTGACGCATTCTGAGGTGAGGCAGATCTCATCTGTGCCTCACCTACCCCACAGTAACTGGCTTGAGCGCGCTCACAAAATAAGTGGCCGCGCTAAATTAGTGCCCGCGCTCCAGCAAGTTACTGTGGGCTTACGAGAGGCAGTGCTCGTCCCTGCCTCACTTCTCATCGCTCCCGTAGCGGAGCTCGGCAAATTTGCTGATTTTGACTATAAAAAGCGATTGGAATCATACAGAAATCACATTTACACAAGATCAGTGGAGACATTTTATTATTATTATTATTTAGTTTTTCTTTAATTGTTTTCCCGTTACATTGGAGTATGACAGGTGAGGCTCTGCCTCCCCTGCCTCCACTGACTGCACGTCGCTGGTATATAGTCAATGTGAGGTAAAGTGTGTCGCCAAGGTAACCGGTTAGAACTCAAAGTGGCGATGAGGTCTTAAAAGGTCTTACGTTTGACTTCAGGATTCCAGCATATACCCTGTAACTGTATATGTGTATAAATAACCAGTACACTTGTAAAGAGTTCTGGTCGCAATATTTGATAAAACAGAGTATTCTTCTGTGCTAATTGGCTTTTATTAATAACAAATCTTAGGCATTGTAATTACTACACATGGACACTTACTTTTATATGTTATTCTTGTGATGGTGTCTCTGTTCAGCATTCGATTTAGGAATGAGTTTGATGTCTCAGCAATCTGCAATAAAGGACAGAAACAGGAAGAAGGGTGAGGTTACATTTTAGTCATAGCTTCATGTCATATCTATTCAGTAGTACAAACTATATGATAGTTGATTATACAAGTGTATTTTCTTTTATCTATCACCTTTAATGCCCATGAAATGTCAAAACCCACTGATGTATTTTGCACAGTCAGACTCCTACACTGCTGCTTTGCCTTCTCGAGAAAAGGCTCCCACTGTGTTCAAGAAACCATTAAAAGGTTTTACAGACACACTGCTGCAGAACACGCACAAACAAGTCCTTCTTTTTTCTTCTTCTATCAGAGCTGTATGTTATAAGATCATTGGCACCCCTCCCCCCTCCCCATAACAGCAATATGTTGCTTCTTCATTACCAGATACATTTACCTTGCATATCAGGTATACAGGCTTGGGGAGTGAGGGATTACATGTAACAGGATTAGGTTATCAGCATACAAAAAAAAGGTTAACTGTATTCCTTGACAGTAACATTAAATAAAGATGTAATCAGATAATTCAATTTCAAAACATTGTGGATGTTTTGACACGCCAACTGCCTGAATCTGCTTTATGGTTTTCACTTTCTTTGCTTCATTTGTGCTTTTTTAATTCAGCAGGTGAACCTATATCTTCATAAAATAGTGTGTGTGAGCTTAACTGTGTGTATTAAACAAACAGAGCATTTCCTGTCAGCTCAGATTGTATTTCTGCTTGTTTAAACTGTAGTGTGTGCTCATGTGTGTCAGTGTACGTGTATAGGCTGCTGCCTGGATATGCTGAGTGAAAGGCAGCTTTTCCTAAAATCATTTCTGATCCTAAATATCTTGGTTTCTTCTTTCTAAGATCACATTGTTCTGTTGTGTGATATCAGACACTTCAGTAAAAACATCTTATTGATATTTATTTTCTCTTGGATTTATTTGCATTGCATTTGACATTGAGGTAATCCAATAGTAATGGAAAGTAATCAGGTTACATTACTTATATATTTTGATGCTCTGAATGTTGAATGTATGTTACTAATTACTTGTTTTTGCACGTAACTAGATACTGAAATGGGATCCATTTTTAAAGTGACCCTCCCAAATCTGCAGATATATACATATTCTACAATTCCATAACACATAGCGAGTGAAACTGTTTTTTTCCACTAATATAAACATCTTCCATGTGTTGGAGACACCTGACCTGCCTCCTTTTTCTCCTCTAGTCCACGCCTGTCCTGTGTTCCAGCCCACAGACACCAGCTGCTCTCTCTCCTACCAGATTGTTGCTGTTGTCACACTGTCATTGTGCTCCAGCTGTTCCCTGTCTGTCCTCTGCTCTCTGTCCTGTATGCACACTGGTTTAGCCCACTCTGAATGTTCCTCCTCTGCAGACTATACAATGCTCAGTTGTGCACTTGATTCTGACCCTAGGTAACAGGAAGTGAATGATCATCCCTCTGATTCCTTTCTTTCCTTTACCCCTGTCTCCTGGGAATGACATTTACATACTAAGTTTCTTCCCATCTTCTTCCAGCCTCATTAACAAGGCCCGGGACCCCCGCTGACAGTGACGATTATCCACCCCATTAATGAACATCATGTGAACAATCTCTTGTTCTTTTGAATCCTGAACAACCCTTTGAACATGTTACACATTTCTGCTCCACACCTCTAAATCTGCACAGCTCTCCAATTTGAATATAGCATTTGTCTTATTTTATTTAACTGTACTCTGTGTAAATATTTTCTTTCTTTATTATTATTTAAATGTCTTTAAAATAGTTTCTGAACTAGCTTTGATAATAGTGCTATTTTTTGCTCATTTAAGAAAAACATATTCTTCTTTTCGTGTCTTTGTATGCACCAGGTATACCAGAGCAAATTCCTCGTATGTGAAAACGTACTTCGATAAAAATGATTCTGAATTTGATTATACTTATTATACTTTATTATTATACTACTTTTAAATCCAGGCTGAAGACTTTACTACTTTTAAATCCAGGCTGAAGACTTTTCTTTTTGCCGCTGCTTTTAATTGAACTATTCACATCTTAAATTGCACTGTATAACTTTTATCCATGTATTTTTTCTTTTAATGTTTATTTTATTATCTTTCCTTTTTAATGACTGATTTTAAATGCCATTTTTAAAATGTCTTCCATTTTTGTAAAGCACTTTGAATTACCTTGTGTTGAAAGGTGCTATATAAATAAACTTGCCTTGCCTTGCCTTGCCTATACTTATTTAAATATAGGGAGGTGGATGGTGGGCCTAATGAATGGCTGGATTTCATTTGTTTTACAGGAGTTTTGTTTGATGTAAATCCCAACAAGAAATGTCACTGTTATACAGTACAAGTACATTGAAAGCTGCATATATTTTTAATAACATTGTAAAACATATGGCAACATCCTACACATAAGTGTTGATTTGACTTGATTAGGGAGTACAAATATAAACTACATTCATGTTCCCCAGAGAACATCAGCTTACACTGAGATAACATGTCTTCCCTCAGCAGGGCTGTAGTCGGCCACAGAGCACACAGACAGGAAGTCTGCAGCGGAGACAGTGGAAGGACCCTAACAGCACGATAGCATACTTAATGCTCCATCATGATATTGGTTAGAGACGTTTATTGCTTGGAGGTTTAATTAGTTGCCCTTGAAACACATGCTGCTAATGACAAACAACATACACACATCCTTTAATGAAATAAATCACTTTGCAGTCTGGTGTCACCCAAAACATTATAATAAGTATTTCTTGGATATAAGTTCCTACATTTTGACACACAGATACTCGCCACCCTAACTTGCACAGCTTACTACAGAGAGAACAAACTACTTCCTGTATTGGCTCTGAATGTGAATCATGAGCTGCATCCCAAGTCTCTTATGGCGCTTTTCCACTGCAGGACCTAGCACGGCTTAGTACGGTATGGTTTGGCCTTGGTAGGCCAGGCTCACTTTATGCTGCGTTTCCATTACAGTATAGTAACAGGGGTAGTAACTATAGTAACGCAGTGTAGGCGGGGCGATCGGCTGTTCGGCAGGCGGAGAGACGCTGCATAAAACTGCCGTGACGTCATCTTCAATGCGAACCACAAAACCAAAACATCCGCCGTTAGCTGTTAGCACTCAGAGCTCACAGCTCCTCATATCTAAACACTCTCGACTGCTGAATGGTCAGAGAGAATCGCTGGCAAGGGGGCTACAATTTCCCAATGTGGGATCAATAAAGTACTATCTATCTATCTATCTGTTCAGAAACTAGACACAAGTTAAACAAGTACAAACCACAGACTGTCTGTGTCATGGCGAATACAGTCGCTGGTTTATTTATGTCTGTAGGCCGTTGTTGTGAGTGTGGACGGTCGGAGCATACACTGCGTTAGCTTAGCCTGATCGATCCAATCTCCATTCAGAAAACACGCATTTTAAAAGGTTTTTCGCCTGCCGTCTTGTCTGCAGACCGGTATCAGTATGTTGTTACTTCGGCATCATTTTGAAACGTGTATTACAATTAAATCACGGTCAAATATGTTCATGTTGATGTAGTTGTAGCCCCCTTGCCAGCGATTCTCTCTGACCATTCAGCAGTCGAGAGTGTTTACGTCACTAGTTTAGCATATTCAGCCCGGTTGTTGGCCCGGTAAGAGCCTCGATTTTGGAGGGCCAGAAAAAATGTGAAAAAGTAGCCCTGAGCCGGAACTACCCCTAGTGGAAAAGCAAAAAAAAGCGGGCCTGGTTTGGCCCGGTCCGCTTAAACCGTGCTACGTGCTGCAGTGGAAAAGCGCCATTAGATTACACCATGTTTCCCTCACTTGCTTCTAAGTTGTATGTTGTCAGTTTTGTATACTGACCACATAGTTAGGAGTGATTCACCAGAGTGTAATCTGATGCACTGCACTGATGTTAAGTAGCATTAGTGACAGATACACATTAAGGGGTGTCGGCCGGCTGAGGTTTCCCCCTAAGGATGGTCTGGTTTTTTCCTTGGTTATCAATCTAATCAAGATAGGAGCCAGGAAATGACAAATAAGAGACTTGGGATGCAGCTACTGTGTCTTCCAATATGGCCATAATTCCTAGGAGATCGAGTTGGAAGAAATACAGCAGACATTTCAAAACTTGCCACCACGACATTTTGTTGAAATGTCTGAAAAATCACAGACTTTAGTGACAATGCTGGAAAGGGATCACATTAACTTCCCCATTAGCCGTTAGACCCTCACTCTCACTCTGCCTCCCTGGCTCCTGTGTTCAGTACTTCTCTCACTCTGCCTCCCTGGCTCCTGTGTTCAGTACTTCTCTCACTCTGCCTCACTGGCTCCTGTGTTCAGTACTTCTCTCACTCTGCCTCCCTGGCTCCTGTGTTCAGTACTTCTCTCACTCTGCCTCCCTGGCTCCTGTGTTCAGTACTTCTCTCACTCTGCCTCACTGGCTCCTGTGTTCAGTACTTCTCTCACTCTGCCTCCCTGGCTCCTGTGTTCAGTACTTCTCTCACTCTGCCTCCCTGGCTCCTGTGTTCAGTACTTCTCTCACTCTCACTCTGCCTCACTGGCTCCTGTGTTCAGTACTTCTCTCACTCTGCCTCCCTGGCTCCTGTGTTCAGTACTTCTCTCACTCTCACTCTGCCTCCCTGGCTCCTGTGTTCAGTACTTCTCTCACTCTCACTCTGCCTCCCTGGCTCCTGTGTTCAGTACTTCTCTCACTCTCACTCTGCCTCCCTGGCTCCTGTGTTCAGTACTTCTCTCACTCTGCCTCCCTGGCTCCTGTGTTCAGTACTTCTCTCACTCTGCCTCCCTGGCTCCTGTGTTCAGTACTTCTCTCACTCTGCCTCCCTGGCTCCTGTGTTCAGTACTTCTCTCACTCTGCCTCCCTGGCTCCTGTGTTCAGTACTTCTCTCACTCTGCCTCCCTGGCTCCTGTGTTCAGTACTTCTCTCACTCTCACTCTGCCTCACTGGCTCCTGTGTTCAGTACTTCTCTCACTCTGCCTCCCT